CCCCCCCCCCCGCGCTTTCATGCCTTAGCGAGTGTGCAAGCATCTGTGCATGTGTTAACAGCTGGTAAACGTGTAATTATTTAATTCTGAGATGAGCAGTTTTCTGTCTTTTTTCTGCAGCACAGATAGTCATCTCAAAGTAGCCTGCTTGATACTCAGCCCAGTGCATGCTCAGGCATTAATAAWTATTGTGCGCTGCCTACAATTTATGCATAGATGTCACCGCCAAAACTATAAACTTCTAATTACACCTAATAACTCACACCAACAGAAGAGCTGAGATGAATGTTAACATTTCGGGTTTGTTGCCTKTTTTGTTTCTTTTCTAGCTGSGACAGACTGCGTGACAGTCACCATCTCATCATAATTTACAAAGCCTAATTCAGCCTATAATGCTGCTCTGTTTCGCCATTAAAGGAAATCTATGTCAAAGAAGTGGGTAAATAATATTACCCAAGAGCATTCATGCCACAAACAATTCCAAAGTGAAGGACAAGTGGAGGTTTAGCTGATTGCAGTTAGAATATCCACAGTACATCAAAGCATTTTGTTTACCAAGTAATATAGCACTGCTAATAATTTCACAGAGCTGTCTGACTGCTCTGAYGCACCATAAGGCTTGTGTTGTTGTCATTCACTAAGAATTCCAATCACCTTGTAAAAATGTAGACAGTAAAGTTTTCTTTCACTTGACAAAAACAATGTATTAAAGGTGCAATGCATGCATGTCAACCTCTTTGGACGTTTACCTGTATAAAGAGCCCTAAAAATCCRTAAATTTCACAAAAAAATCCATGCAACTCGCACCCGCGGCGGGGGTGGGGGTGGGGGGGTCAGCTGCGGACATGAAAGCGCCCGCTGCAAAGCAGGAGGAAACGAGAGAGGAAAAAGTAACTTCTTTCTAGCAGCAGAACAGGTTGAAAGATGACTGTTTGGTAGGCCTGTCCCAATAGTCAATAAATCAATTAATTGCACAATAAAATTTTTTTGAGGTCGGTAAAAAAATGAGGACGATAAGTTTCATTTTCCTGCTTGTTGATTTACTTCGTCTCTCTCCTTCTCTGTGCTCCGCTACACAGGAGCTCAGCTGACTCCTCCCCTCCTGTTTTCTAAGTGTCGGGAGGAGTGAACTCTCSCGTTAGCGTGAGAGCTCGTAGCAATAACAAACTAAAGAAACGTTTCAAAGCAGAACGCGGCTGCTGCAGTGTCGGAGCAATTGCAGAGCCTGAATTTCGCTGCAGGGAGACACAGAGAGAGAGAGAGGAGGAGAAGGGGTGGGGGCTGAAACTCCCCCAGACCCGTGACAAACTCGTCAAGACTTTACCTGTAGCTCCCAAAAATAACAGGAAACAAACACACTATCTGTTTTAACAAAACACCCCAAAAAACCTGTAGCTGTCCCAACAACTCATGAGGAAAACTCTGAACTGTCTGATTTCCTCCCCTGCAGTGCTCTGCTTGTCTCCTCACTGACTGTCCCTTCCTCACACACACACATAGACACGTTTGTTCTTCTATCCTCATGGGGACTTTGCATTGACTTTCATTCAGTTACCAGTATTTTCTATTACCATTTGACCCTAAACCTAGCCTAAACTTTACATAGGATGTGAACTGGGCTTATGTCCCCAAAAGAAACAGTGGGTCCTCACCAG